TTTCTTTTTAACAAAAAAACGAAGTCCAGATGACATGATTCAACCTTTTTTGTTGTTCCACAGAAGATCTTTCAGAAGATCTTTGAGAAGATCTTTGAGAAGATTTTTCAGAAGATCTTTGAGATGATCTTTCAGAAGATCTTTCAGAAGATCTTTGAGATGATTTTTCAGAAGATCTTTGAGAAGATCTTTTCTGAGACGTTACCTCCATAAAAACTCCGTGACCTTCATTTGAAGTTCTGTGAATAAAATCTGAGTTTATGGATCTTTAACTTCAGCCCGTCTGACTCTCAGGACGGTGTTTGTAAATATTCTGTTATTTTTGATGTTCAGAGTTTTTCTGTTTGGTGTCCCCCCCCTCCCCCCCTCTCCCCTCAACAAGCTCTATCGTAACCGCCTCACCACCTCCCCCCTGCCTCTCCCTCGCTCCCCTCGTCGCTCCGTGTCACCCGAGGTCCACGCCGTCTCCTCGGAGTGGATCTCCCTGACCGTGGGAGGTGGGAGTCCCCCCGCCGCCCCCACCCCTCCTCTGCCGCCGCTGCCCACCGTGTCCTACCGCTGGGGGGAGTACCTGCCCCCGCCGTACTCTGCCAGCCCTGTGCCTCACATCACCGGCAGCCCGTACTGTATCTCCCCCATGGCCTCACCGTCCGCCTCCCCCCTGCCCCCGCCTTACCCGCCCAGACCCAACTCGGCCACTCCCTTCCTCACCTTCACGCCGCCTCAGGGGGAGGACTTCCTGCTCTCCCTCTCCTCGCCGCGCAGCGTGAGCCCTTGCGGCGGGTCGGTGCTGGAGGGCTGGCTGAGGGGGGAGAAGGAGCTGATGGAGGGGGAAGGCGTTGCCCCGGGCAACAGGAGAAATAGCCCTGCAGAGGTATCGTCTGCATGGTGTGCCGTGTTGCATCTGCGGCTCGTTCGCGGCTTCGGTTCTGTACGACAGATGTTCTGAAGCGCCTGAGTGCAAACTGACGTGAGAAACTAACACAGTGGACTGACCCGGTTCTGACTCCGGCTCCGCGCAGGATCCGTTCCGCTGGTTCAGACAAACCCTGACGCGCACGTTGCTTCCAGCTGCATGTTGTCGTGTGCACCGCTAACACTCGGCGTTGGTGTGTTGATGTGGCGTGGTTCAGACCGTTCACCGGGCCGTCAGCCAAAGTTCTTATGCGACAGGAAGTGATGAGGACGGACAGGAAACAGAACCTCTCCTGAAAGCACAGCCTGGACGAACAAACCTGTGTCCATCGGTTGTTTTACACGAATGCAAGTAACGAAACTCAGCAACTGATCCTGGAGGTGTGTCCAACTGATGGAGTCGACCTGAGTCAAGATGGCCGCCACAGCTTATCAATATTAGCAGGAATAAGAACTCGGTCACGTTTACAGATACTGAGCTAACTGAGCACTAACTCCTTAAAGGAGCGCTGGACCTTTAATTTGAAAAGTTTTTGTCAGTCAACCTTTATTTATCCGGGTTAGTCTCACGGAGTCACGAGGACTCGTTTAGACAGACAACAATAATTCAACACAAAGCGATTAAAATCAAAAGAAGTTACAAACAGATCAAGATGTCATATAAAACCAGGTCAAATACTAAAAACAAAAACACATTTGCTTTAATGTTTCTGTCGACATGATCAAAAGTTTAAAATTAAAGAGATCAAAGTGGACAGTTTGAGGTCTTGGTGCAAGATGTTCCAGGAGCAGAGTAGGAAAAGCCTTTTTGCCGAGTTCAGTCTGCACTGAGGGGGCGCTGCGGGTAATGATGGCTAATGACGCAAATGTCCTGGTGTTCCAACTAGTCGGGGGTCCCTTTAAAATCTGACAGGACCGACAAGCTAACGGCTAGTTAGCGGAGGCTAAAGTAGATTACTACCGTCTTAAAACAGCTCCAGTCTCAAGAAATGAACGATGCTACGTCAGATTGTCAGTTTCTCATTACACAGTGATTTACAGGAAATCCTGAGGTTTTCTGTGACAAGAAATCATATCTTTGGAAGTCTTTTCGCTTAGCCCGCAGGCTACTGACGAGCTAATTTTGACTTTTCTGAATATTAGAACAGCTCCAATCTTTCTTTTTTTAAACAATTAACACAAAATGGATTATTTGAACCTTTATTTTACTGTCTGTTTTGTATTATTCAGTTATATTTGCTGAAATATTCCCACATTCCTTCTTAAAGTGCTCAAGCTAGCTGCTACTGCTTTTTGTGCTTAAATAATTATAGAAATTTACATTAATAACAATGTACTGAAAAACTGTCAGCAGCATAAAGGTCTAAAAATTGATGTTCACGCGAACTGCTATCATTTTAAAACAAATATTGATGGTGACAAGGATGCACTTTGATTTCTGCTAGCATGAAGATTAGCCGTTAGCGTGTAGCTCCTGTCAGGTTTTAACACCGTTTCTCCAGTGTTCAAAGAGTTGATCATACAGGTTAGATTTTAATTATTTATAACCTTTTCAAAGACTTCAAAAATGTTTAAAGTATTCCTTTAACCAAACCGTAGTTTAAGGAAACGGCCACAACAGTTAGGGCTAACACGCATGCTAACACCGTGTTCATTACGTTGTTACTGAGGAGGCTTCGCTTTCATTTTTAGGGTTAATTTAAAATGTTTTGTTGTTTCATGACAAGTTTAAACACCATCAGCGGTAAAACACTTTTTAGGGCCGTGACGTGCCCATCGGTGAGTATTTATTCCAAAGAACAGCTGCAGGGTCGAAACCCCGGGAAACGCTGCCTCAGTGGACTTTAAACTACGGCAACACTCGGAGCCAAAAAGCTTTGAGGTTAAAGTGTGTGTGTGCTGATGTGTGTTTCAGTTTGTGAGGAACGAGGCTGAGCTTCGGAGCTCCAGAAGCCCCGTCATACCTTTAGACGTCCAGGATAACAACAACGTCAACTCGTTTGCGGTAAGAAGGCCTCAAATGATCATCAACGTGTTCATGACATCATCGTTTAACGTTTTTAATATTTCACGCTCAGACATCCTCCTAACACCACGCTGGTCTTCAGTTGTGCTAAACTATTCCTTTTATGGCTCGACGTTTCAGGAAACTCAGTCTGCTTTCTCTCCGAACGTGTAACGAGGTCATTAACGTAATTTTTTAGATCCAGGTCCTGGAAGAGTTCTCCTCGTGACAGGAAACAGCCGAGGCTGCGGTTCCAAAAGTCCAGGTCTAAAAACCACAGAACCACTAAATAATGAGAAAAAACATATTTTCTGTAATGACACAGTGAGAGCTGAACAACTCTAATTATTTTACTGACACGCTGAAACTGAACTGTTAAAATTGCATGAATAAAAAATAAAACACTAGATAAATGCCACGAGTAGCAGAATGTTAGCTAAAGGTAGAAAAACAGTAGCTAAAAGGAACAAAAAGTTTGCTAAAAGCTAAAAATAAAATGTTATTTAAAAGCTAAAAGCTGGTGGCTAGAAGCTAAATGTAGAAAGAAGATGGCTAAAGCTAAAAATATAGACGGACTAGCTAAAATGTAAAAGTAGCAGAACAGAAGCTGAAAGTAGCAGAACGTTAACTAAAATCTAAAAGTAACAGAATAATAGCCGAAAGAAGCAGAACAGTAAAAACTGAAGGTAGTTGAACAGTATCTAAAATTATCAGAACAGTAGCTAAAAGTATCAGAACAACAGCTATAAAGTACCAGAACTGCAGCTTAAACAATATCAGAACAGTAGCTAAAAGTATCAGAACTGCGGCTTAAAAAATATCAGAATAGCAGCTTAGATTATCCGAACAGCAGCTAAAAGTATCAGAACAGTAGCTAAAAGTACCAGAAATGCAGCTTAGATGATCAGAACAGCAGCTGAAAGTATCAGAACAGCAGCTAAAAGTATCAGAACAGCAGCTAAAAGTATCTGAACAGCAGCTAAAATTTTCAAACATCAGATCAGTAGCTAAAAGTTGTAAAAGACTAGCCAACATCTTTATGACATAAGAAGACATAAAGTGAACCAGTAGCTGAAGCAGATTTCAAAGAGGATGCTTTAGAAGAAATTGAGAACATCTCGGTGTATTTATTTATTTATTTATTTTATTTTTAAACTAAGTGAAATATTTAGAAAAATGCAAAAGTCACATTATCCATCAGCTGAATGAGCTGAACGTTTTGATCAGTAAACAGCTGAAGCAGCACAAAGTGCAGGAAATGTGAACAGAAAACGATATTTAAATGCTGACTCAGCGTTCACCAGTTTGGACCGTCTTTATGCAAAGCTCAGGAAGAAAGTGGCCGAAGGTTTTATCTGAAATGTCGAGCTGTTTCCTTCGGCTGTGCCTCTAAAACTGCCCGCTCACTCGAACTTCCTGTGAAGAGAAACTAACCGGGTCGTGTTTCCTGTCTTCATGCTCCATCAACACCTCCACTCTTTCTGCCTTTGCTTCCTCCTCCCTCTTCCTCCTCCCCCTCTAACTCCTCACTCCCCACCACCCCCGACCTCCTCTGGGACTCCCGCTGGGCCCCCCTCCCTGTGTGGGGGGCACCACCTGCAGGAGGCGGTGTGCAATGAGATCTTGAACATTGCAGAGACCTCAGTGAGATACTGCAGCGCGCTGTCCCAGCACCGTAACAACCCCCTCCACCGACTGCGCCCCCCCAGTAAACAATCTCTCATCATTTCCCAGCAACCCCGGTCCCACAGCAGCAGCCCAGAACCGAGCCGCCTCAACGTTGGCATGTGAGTGGGCTTTGTTTGTCACTTGTACACACACAGACATGTTCAAACGTTCGCCTAAATCCTTGATGATGCTTTTAACTTGACAAGGCCGGTTAACTTCCTGTTGGTGACCACGACTGACCGCAGCTGCCGGCAGAACATCGAGCTGCTGGACTGACCACGTTCAGAGGATCTCAGTGAAGCTCTGCAGGTTCACTAAAGACATGAAGGTCTTTGGAGACATTTCTGAACCACTTCAGTTTTTAATGTCTTCACTTCAAGCAGCTGTTTGTCGGCTCGTGTTACTCGCATGTGTCTCCTGGAAGAAGACCCAAGCTGTCCTCAGGTGAATTAAAGCTGGTTCAGATGTTCAGGAGCCACCAAGGCTCTAACCTGCCATGGGCTGGATCCTGTTGGAACCCCAGTGTCCCTGTCCACAGTGGAGCCAGTTTTACATCACCGTGGACAGACAGGACCAAGACCAGCTGGACCAAACCCTGCAGATGTCCACATGGACAAGGCAAATATCTTCTGGAGACATGTTTCATGGTGAACTGAGACAGAAATTATGCTGTTTGGACACCAAGACAACAAGTCTGTTTGGACACAAAGACAAGAAGAATGTTTGGAC